CGTTTCTTAATTTTCTTTCCAACCATAGTTAGAAAAATAAGGTTGGAATTTTTAAATCAATGATTAATAGGACTTGACTTAGAGTTGGAACAGCTGACAGATGTATACATGGAAAATAATTATCTCTTTACTAAGGAATACATTTTTAGATGGAGACTATTTAGTCAAAGATAGACAAGTTGAGACCTTTCCTCTTGTCCTAATTATGCAGTCATGCCTAAGAAGATAGGTGAATTAGTTAGAAAGTGGGGGATAAAAACAGTGTTGGGGAGACTTTCGTTTTGTATGAAAGTGCATGAAGAGGAGATCCGTAGGTCGATCTCATCAGAAGAGGACGGCTGAATCCCGTTGTCCTAGTGTTAAATAGAGACTTTTACAAGAATGAGTTCCAGCTCTGATGATGTCCAGAATATGATAAACGAAAGCTGAGCCCATTTTCACTCGAAACGATGGAGTTCTTGTGGACTGTGTCAACCTGAACGTCGTATAAAGCCAAACAGCTGCAGTACAACGGTATTCAGCCATCTTCTTCTTGTGAGATCGACCTACAAATCTCTTCTTCATGTACTTTCATGCAAAATAAAAGTTTTCCCCAAAATGTTCTCAGGAGATTAATCTAAACCCAGTTACTCTTTGTATTTAGGATAAAAACAGTGTTATGCCATCTTTTAGAGAGAAATATGATCCATTATGGAAATTCGGCCGCTACAAGACTGTGCTCCTGTGGTCGACCTCATGTTGGTGAGACATGCCAACCTATTCTACCAAGATTAGGGGAACACAAAAATTCTTGCAAAGGCAGCAGCGTCCACGGTCAAAAGTGACCGAACACATGACAGACTGAACATGAGATAGAATGGTCTCAAACCAGTATATGCGATGTATTCACCCTATTATGTTTAAGGTGATTAAGGACTGGTAGTAGAATTTTCCTACAGTTTCCATTGAATTTCACATAGCCTTGCTTTCCCAAAAGTCGTTCTCATCTCGGCTGGAATGGGCTGGAGTGGGCTGGAGTTTCGACATCGCATAGGTCTTATCAACACCCCCAACGGTAGTCGAACCATGACGACACTACAGCAGGTGAGCTTGACACGTTAGCCACTCGGCCACATTGCCACGAGTGCCTTTGGGTCACAGGGCAGATGTGAATGTCAAAGAAGGCCAGGCCTTTTTCCATATCATATTCTTTGCTGGGGGTGTTGATAAGAACTATGCGAGGTCGAAACTGAAGTCCACCCTGGATGAAAACAACTTTTGGAAAAGCAAGGCTATGTGAAATTCAATGGAAACGTCAGTTCTACTCATAACATTGTGGGAAAATTCTACTACTAATCCTCCATCACCTTGAATGAAATAGGGTGAACACATCTCATATAACTGATTTACTGGTAGTCTTGAAACTCTACTTATATACTCAAACTAGTATGTTTGCTTAGTATGGCACAGCTGCTGTTAAAAGGAAGATGAGAGGCTATTGAAATTACTAGATTAGGGAATATGTTGAATGCGAGCGAGGGTGGTAGGAAGTTGAGTAAGAACTACGTATGCTTGGTTAATAAATTGAAAGAGATGGTAGTGAGCCGCTGTCTAAAAGGCGGCTTAAATTTTCCGCTCAGTGATGGTTCTAGCCTCACTCAAATTCGTGCAACCTGTTATATTAAGCTCATCAACCAAACCAGAAGTACGAGATTATGCAGTCCCAGTCATGCCCTTTCCTTGGGTTATTAAATCTTAATAACTTTAGACTGAGAGGTAAGGACAGGTGGTTTTGTAACATGACTTACATTCTTAAAAGCTTACATCTCGTTACCTCAACCAGACCTGCTTACAAACTTAAGCAGTCTCGGTCAGGGTTTTTGTTTGGATCCCTAAGCTTTGATGACCAGAATCAAGCCTTTTTGATGGGTCTGATTTAGGACTCGTATTGTGTATAGACGTTAACCCACACCCACACACACTCAAGAAAAAGTAACTGGACTAATATTAAAGAGAATTAGCCAAACCATTCTATATCTATAGATGCCTATTAAATTTCTTTTGCTTAATTGAGTCTATATAAGGGGTAAGATAGAGCCTGATAATATTCTTGGCATAGGGTTAACGTATGACTTTTGCAAGAATGAGTTCCAGATCTGATGATGTCTACCATATGCTGAACGAAAGCTCAGCCCATTTTCACCCGAAACGAGGAAAGATGTCTCGAGGACTGCGCCAAACTGAAATTCCTATTAAAGACAAACGGCTACCGTAAAACGGGAATCAGCTGTCGCCCTCTATTAAGATCGATAATCGAATCACTTCTTTATGCACTTTCATAAGGAATGAAAGTCTCTCCAAAAATATTATTTAAGGAGATTTATCGAAACCCAGTTACTCTTCGTATCTACGCTATGAATTAGCTCCAATATAACTATTGAAAGGATAATTTTTGTTCAAGCCACTGGTAGTCTCGAGACCCTACTTACAAACGAAAAATAAGTAATGTAGTCGATTGTCATATAAAATATAACTTTGCTTCATCGAAAATCCCATCAAAAAATTTGATATGAGAAAATACCTGGCCTTCCTTGAAATTCGCATCTGTCCTGTGACTCAAGGGCACTCATGGCATTGTGGCACTTCATTGTCATAGTTCAACTCCGGCTTGGGATGTTGATAAGACCTAGGCGAGGTCGAAACTACAGTCCACCCTGGATGAGGATACCTTTTGGAAAAACAAGGCTATGTGGAATTTAATGGAAACGTCAGCTTTATTTATATCATTGTGGGAAAATTCAACTACCGGTCCTTCATTACCTTAAGCGAAATAGGGTGAATACATTTCATATAACTAGAGTTCTTGTTTTTAAAGAAAGACATGCCCTCTCAAATGGTATTAATGCAAGAGTTTAGATGTTGCTTATAGTGCAAAATATATAAATAGTGGATAGGATTGCCAGAACGTAAACCAAAGTTATATATCTTTCAAATCTTACTAGGAAAAGGTATCTAATAGAGATCGAGTGAAAACTTATGTAAAATGTTAAGAAGATAAAAGCATGAGATAAGTAGTTTGAACGCCTCATTGAATTTATTGATATGAAAAGCGTAGTCTAATCATAGAAAAGAGGACTATCTTGCTGAAAAATAAGAATATTTAGTGATTATTGATGCAATTCAATGAATATAAATGTGGGACAGTGCACTTGGCGGTAGCGGAAAGCTATTTAGAATCTTTATATAACAAATATATGAAAATAGAGTAAACCAGCTTTTCTACATAGTAGGGTAATTCTCAAGGGGGTGAATAACCAGTCTTTGCTACAGCATCAAATTTATGCGCCTTTTGTTAGATCCGGAAATTAGCGTCAGTGAATAAAATAAATCGTCAGATGAACCCATCCAATAAGAGAGAGTACATGAAAAATATTTATGGATGATACCTATTTAGATGCATGGTTAGTGAGCTTAGAACCTCAAAAAAATTAAAAAACTGAATATGTAATAAAGTCCCTACCAGAGGGGCAATAACAAAGCTTACTCAACACCGCGCTTGCATGCCCAAATTGAGTAGATCGCCTCAGCTGTCCAGGACCACTGGAGCATATTGTGCTCTTCAGCTAGTCGTAGCCAGCGCATCAAGGTCTTGTTCGCCTCATCAATATGCATATCCTGCCAACTGGCAGCCTTTACTTCAGCTGTCGTCGCGGCCTTAGATGGCTTGAGTAATTGCTGAATCCGATTGCCCAAGGCTAATGGTAGGGCAAGTCTAGCGAGTCCAGAAATATGGGACGATTTCAGCGACGCGAAGAGTGTTCCAAAACTTTCTGACCTGGAACGGGCAGTATTTTTCGAGGCAGCTGATCGCAACATCTGTGCATTAGCGTAATCGAGAAGATCCAGCATCTCTTGTGAAGCTTTATGGGCCTCAATAGGTAGACTTGCTTCCGTCATGGCCACGCTTTCCGTCGCTGTCACAGGCTGCATAAGTAGATGCCAGGCCTGGTCTTGTGCAGAAATTAAGTCAGTAATACGATCGATGCATACCAATATCAAATTGGTTTCACTCACGTGGCCTGAAGTTGCTGCAAGCAGGTCACGGAAGAGCTGGACGAGCCGCTTAAAAGCTAATCGGCGAGTAGCGGTAACACGAGAAGAACTAAGAGGCATAGAATCAGCCTCATCTATTGACTTGATATTGGAATCATCTTGTTTAGAAGCCTCTCTCGCTGTGCTTCTCGACGCCTTTGAGATGGGTTCGCGAGCGGCTCTATGGAAGCGATTAATGAATACATTTCGGAGCAGGTTGTGCTGACGAAAGATGGTTCCATGGTAGGTTCGGTAGAATTGCCAAGCTTCGTCCAACTGCTCTTCGATTGCCTTAGCACCTGCCTCTATATGGGATTCGTTTTTAATACCTTGGTTACTGCTTTGGTCATTAGTTTTGACCCTAGCAGGAGTGAGAGAAAAGCCGATTTCGCCTAATAGAAGATGGGCATAGTCAGCAATGTAGGATTCCTCAGCTGAATTTGTCAGAAAAAGAAATCGACGATCTGATTGTCCGGTTAGAAGATTATGCAATCGGCGAGCTGTCGTCAGATCGGCCTCGTCGCGGAGGCAACGCATTGCTTGAGTGAAGAAACGCAAGTCATCGTACGAATAAGTATCAGTGCGACAGGGCGGCCTATCGGCCCAAGCAATCTCCAGCTCATTAATGAACGCATTGATCAGCGGAGAAGTCGAGTAGAGCACACTCTGACTAGGTCTGGAAGAAACAGCAACAACAGAAGAAATATCCCAGCGAGCCGGAGCTGTAATCAAGGCAAGAAGGTTGTTCATCATGCCAAGACTTGTCGGGAGACCTAAAAGACGAGCCTCTTCGAGGAGTCCGAGCCCAAAAGCTGTATGGCTGCGGAAAGATCCAGTAAGGAGGCTAGTAATGGTATCACATGCCAGGCTATGTAGGGCGGCTTCAAACGAAGACTTGTCAGGCAGGATACCAGTAGTGCTCATTCGAAGAAGTACGGCCAGCAGGCAGGCAGTTAGCGGTGTGTGAGAAGTGCAGCCTGGCTCAGTCTTATGCGAAAGCCGGTCTCGTGAGAGAAGCTGTAGAGGAACATATAGCTCGGTTCAGACATTAATTTGAGCCAGCATAGCCTTAGTACTTATGGATAAGTCTCAGGCAAAATCTATAAACCACGTCTAAATTAAGGTAACAAACAAATGGGCTATCTAAAGAAGAGGAATAACAATTCCTTACCTTTTTAATCTCTAACTTGGTACTAGGACGCTAGGGAACTATGCTGATTTAGCTAGCTCAAGTATTTTAGTTAATAAAGGTCCGATTAAGATCCATCACCATCATATATTAAATATGGACCCTGCTTATACAGATTAGCAACTCATCTAATGTAGTAAGTTTTTGATATATTGATTAATTTAATGAATAGTGAGGCCTCTATCGCCCAAAAGTATCGTTTTAAAAGATATAAATTCCGAAATTGACATCGGCTGTCCGTACCAAATGGATTCTAAATATACTAAAGTAGAAAGTAGACAAGGTTGAAGTAAGACATAAGACGTATTGTTACTATTACACCTTAAAGTGCCTGAAAGATAACAATTACATTTTAGAGTAGCGAGACGACTTGATAAAATCTATGAAATTAATTTTCTCGCCCACTATTATTTCTACTCATATATGTTTAAAAGTTAGCAACTAGCCTAACCTTACTTCACAGTAGCTTACTAGTAGTTCGCTGGCTCGGTCAGTCAAGTACCTGATTTTAATCATCAAGCCATTCTTTAAAACAATCAGCCTCATGAAAAACTTATTTACATCCCGAGAATCGATTAGGAAAGTCGAATAAATTTGGAATAAGGAGAAAACTGCGTAAATAACATTTAACGATACTCTTGATAATAAGAATGAATCAAAGTAAACTTACAGCATTATTCATCATTAATGCCATTACTATAATGAACTCTTAAAATAAGCAATATTAATTGAAACAGGCAGGGAATAGACCGCCTCTTACTGCGGAAATTTCGTTCAATTGAGGTGGTGGCACTCCATGCAGACAGAGTAAAAGAGCGTTATAATCGTCTATATCAAGAAAGACTGCCCTCTCGACATCTGATGTTTGCGGGCCCGCCTTGCCACTAGCTTGCGCGTTTTCACGAAGCTGACCATCCTCCAGCTTCCAGAGGATCTGCGCCAACTCGAATGCCCTCAATGGATTACCGAAGCGAGCAGCACCACGAAGTAACGCACGCTGGCCCAATGCTCTATTCGAGCCTAAGGTAACAGAATGGTCGCGGAATAGGCATTCTGCAGAACAAGAGTTTGACCAAACAGTGAGTCGGGGAACACCACCCTCCATTGCCATCCTAGCCAAATTTTGCTCTTCAGAACTAGAATTCACAGCAGAATTTTCCGCATCCTTTGCATCCTCGGCATCAACGACCGCAGCAGTAGGTGATCTTGCCAAAGACAACCGAGGCGTTTTTGATTGGGCTGTGATCGCAGGTACTCCCTTAAGCCATGTAGTCGGACCTGCGTAATAAGCCTCGCAAGGATCTGGCAGCTCACCCAAATTTGGAAGCGGCATACCACAGAAGAAGTCTGGACCACCGCTCTGACCAGAGTTTGTGGCGCAGAGTAAGTTAAGAAGGCTATGCAATTGGTCATCACGCCATTTCTCAGTCTAAGAAGAATTAAAATAAAGATTATTAAGTGCCCGAAAAAATAAGATTATTGAAGGCAAAGAAAGGGCAAATGGGAATTAGCATCTTATTAGACTTATTTAAAGCCTGACACGGCAAAGAGGATGTCATGCATGAGGAGGATGACGTCATGTCAGGACTTTCAAATTTAAATGTATGCTGAAGAGATTCGTAGGTTGATCTAATCAGAATACGACTAATTCGTGTTATACTGGAGCCGTTTGGCTTTAATACAACTATCAGGTTGATGCAGTCCAGGAAACAACCTCAATCGTCAGAGCTGGGACTCATGCTTGCAAAAGCCTCAAATTAGAAATAAGTCAAGAAGACTGATCGACTCTTTCCTATATGTTATATATATATATATATATATATAATTGTGAGAAAAATTTAGATAGAGATTGATATATAAAGGTTTGGTTAATTTTCGTATACTCAAGTGTGTCTGTGTGGGTATGTATGCTAACGTCTGTACGCAAAACCAGCCGCAACTAAGAGTAATTAGAAAGAAGTTTAACATCAGCCCCGGGTCATCAAGGCTTAATGACCCAAAAAAAGTATGACAGTGAATGTGTTAGTCAGTAAGTAACCATGGTTGAATTGATGAGATGTAAGCATGTAGGCGTGAAAGTCAGGTTACGAAAACACCAGTCCGAACCCATTAGTCTGGTTTATTAAGGTTTACTGAACCAAGGGGAAGCATAGCTGGGATTGCGTAGTCTCGTAGGTCTGTTTTGGTCGATGAGCTTGGCATGCTTGCTGAACGAGTGTGAATTTGGTCAGAACCATCATTCAGTAAGCAAGTTAAGTCGCCTTTTTGAGCAGAGGCTCAACAACAACAATCTTATCTCATGAAATTCTTCGAAACCCACATTTTCTTTGTATATACGAAGAGGATTCCACCTATCTTTGAAAAAGTCCAGCAAAAGAAAGAATAGGGAGCGAGGAGTCAAAACATGTAACGGCTTTTAAAATAGAAATCTACCTTCGCTACTTCACTATAAAGCTTCCAGGCCTCTGTTGGAGCAAGAAGAAGAATAAGGCGATCCATCGCTTCACTAGCGGATAATTGTCCATCAGCCACCTGGGTGAGCAGGTCAGAGGGAGATTTTAGCGGTAGAAGAGAGTCAATTCGAGGAAGCTACAGGCATTTAAAAAAACAAAGAATTATAATATATATAAAACAGGTTACGAATAAATACAACTCTTCAAAGCAGTAGGTAAAATCTTACTATATATATACATATATAGGGACAGAATTTTATTATAAATCTTTAATCCAGGCAATTAAACTAGGAAGATATAAAGACCAAGATGGTGTGATTCCCGGCATGTACCAAGTCCACTGTCTGATGCTGAGAATTATGATAACTACTATGGCAGAGGACTTTGGACAAGGTGTGTTCTACGAAGTCGCCTTGATAACATGACCAAGTTGCGAAAACGAGATCAACTCGCTTCTATTAATTAAACTAGAAGTTTTAGTATCTCGTGGCCGAAAGTGATAAGAAACTCCATCAAAGTATGCTGCGAACCCCGCGACTTCATCAATCCTTACTAAAGCATATGTGAAGCCCTATGCTACCTCCAAAGACTAAACTTACTCGTTCAATCGATGGCATCAAGACCAAGATTGTGTGGCCTATATTATGGTGGCGGTCTCCTTTCGTTGTGTAAAGGTGGTTTGACCTCGTTTTTGCAACTTGGTAATAGTGTTAGAACATAACTAGCGCGGGGTCCTCCGAAGTAGTAGTCATGGCAATTTCCAGGACTGAACCGTGGGCTTGGTACACGGTTAATTGACCTAGATATCTCTTACAATACGAGAAAGTTTCGAAAGCGAGGTCAAGCTACTTCTAAGCTCATTTTCGATATAGGTGGTTTCATAGACTATGAGTAATAAGATGATGAAAGGAGTGCAAAGTGAGTTTTTTTCCCAATCAGATGAATAAGCTTCATGATACCAGTTAATTTAACTTAGCCTTGCCTCCTAAACGACTATCTTATCCAGGCTGGAGAAGACTGGACTGTAGTTTCGACCTTGCCAAGGCCTCAGCAACACACTTAACTTGATTCGATAGCGAGTTGTGACTATAATCAAAATATTACCCCTTCACTCCACTACAAGGCCACGGATGCGATCGTTTCACGGAGATGATTCGACATTTAATGTAAGCAATGCCTTTCCCTACTCACATTTATAGTGGGATTGTCGATTAAGCAGGCATTTGTTTGTCATTGCAATCGACGATGCTACTCATTTCCCGTATAAGTCGTTTTTGAGACTATCAATAATTATTGAACAAGAACTTAATCATAGTGTTGGTTCTCTGACAACAAGGTCTCCTTGACGCTCGGGCCAAGTTGTGAGAACGAGGTCGAACCAACAATATAAAACCGAAGAAGACTGCGACCAAACAGAAGGCCACACTATCTTGGTCTTCATATCTATGATCTAAGAGCTTAATCACCCTAGGGCGCTAAGCTTACTAGAGTTGTCGGACACTTACAATAATTGTGCAATTTATGTCCTCAAGTTAGGATTCGATGCACCATATTTCTCATTTTTCATGTTTATTATGCTATCATAGTAATCATATCCTTAAATACTCAATCTCGTATAATTCGTTTGTGTATCATTTACAAGACAGTTCAAGAACGCCAGAAGGGGACTTCTTTTAGTTGAAATGAGAAATAAACGGCGTAAAAAATAATAAGGAGTTTAAAAAGTACATTTTATCTATTATCCAGACACATAACAGAATTATTTGAAATATCAAAAGCATTGTATATACTTTGAACTAAAAAAATATAATCGAAGGTATGAAGACCAAGAAGGCCTTTTGTGTGGTCGCAGTCTCCTTTCGTTGTATAGAAGTTGTTTGACTTTGTTTTCGCAACTTGGTC